GACCAGAGCCAGACGTCATGTTTGAGGTTTTCGGCTTGCGTTTTGAACGTCAAGAGGTGGGTTTTCACGTAAGTCATTTACCTCAAGGTTTTTGAATTTTTTTTTCATGCGGTTGATCCTTATAATGTTTAATTTAATAAAGAGGGTTTTTGTTTTTTAAATAGTACAGATTTATAATTCTCCGTATTTGACTAAATTGTCAAATGCTCCACCACCGGGCAACCCTTTGTGATCAACCCTTTGTTATCCAAAATGCCCCATGGTGCATGGTGGGGACCTACAACCTGTCAGATTTCCGTCAAATTCCCGAGGGGGAAGGGGGGCATGAGCGAGCTTCGAATAGACTGAGCCATAATCAAATGCCTGTAATTTAATTTACTCGCCGGCCAACGCATCCCACTTCCTATCTATTTATTTTACTTCTGCTTTACTCTTAGACTTTACCCTTGAGTCCTTTTCAACTATGTCGCGATCACACGTGCAAGGGAAAATGGATCCTGTTCACCCACCATTTGTAACGAGTGATAGCTAAAATGAGTTATAGTAGTAAGTTGGGGAAGAACTATATGGGGGATTCACTCTCTTACCTTGATCTTCCCTTGCCACAGCTTGTTTAACATCAGTTGGGCATTTGTTTTGCTATTATTGTAGGATCATTTGACAAACAATGGTGGTAAGTATGCAAAGACTTGGAAACTGTTATCAGACACCTAAAAAAACAATGAATTAGTGAATTTATTGTGGAGCGTTTAGCTACAAGAATTACTAAATTATTATTATTATTGTTATTATTATTATTATTATTAGTAGTAGTATTATTAACAATCAAATGTGTCCTTCTTCAGGTTTGAAAGCCTTCGTAAACCAAGGTGCAGGTTCAACAATTCCAGGTACACCCATAGAAACTCAAACTGCCTACATTCATGTTAAATGCATTCAATAAAACTTGACTACTGAGACTGTCCTAGGTTCATCCCTTGTTCTGTTTACGTACTAGATGAAGACGTGACTGGTTACGTCGACCCTTTACTTGAAAACTAATTTTCGAAATACAAATCATCCCCACTGGTCTCAGTCACATATTTTGTATTAGTGCAAATCAGTTAGCGTTCTATCACGAATGCCTTTCTCTGATTGGCTACGCTACTCACTATCTAGTCTGTGATATATAGTGAGCAGCGTAGCGGTGTCCCCTTGTTAACAAAATGACCGCCGCTTAATGGCGTTTTCGAAGTGTCTGTGAAGAGGATTTAGATAAAGTTTTGAACGACAATTAGATTATGATAAAAATATTCGGTGTGTAGCCAGGCATGTTAAAGATTTTGGTAAAAAGAAATAAAAAGTTGACACTGGCTTAAAAATATATACTGGACGACTGGACGTTTCGGCTACTACTGTTGCCTTCTTCAGCAAATTGGAAAAAGATAAAAATGGAAATGTCTAACGGCGTCCTGCTTGGTATATGTATTCAATGTGTGATAAAACTAAATCACGCCTCCAGGGAGTGTAACAATAGTCTCTAGGGTATTCTTAATGACTCTGAAAATTCTCAATGTTACTGTAAATGTTTGGTAGCGCTATGTGCTCGTTTATAGCGTTCCTATCCCACATGGAATGCCAAGCTTCAAGGATTAGTCTTTGTCGCCACGCCGATGACCTGTCAACAATTTTCAAGACTCCCCAAATCTATTTGGTGATTGTGAAGCATATAGAGTTTTTATCCAATGTGGCTATGGCCCTCGCGTGTCCTTTGACGTGTGTTTTTTTGCGCGCGTGATGACTGACCAACGTAAATACAATCACAGTCTTTACATTCCTCTGGAAGCCTCTTTCTCGATCTTGTCTTTTGGCTTTTTAAGTATGTTCGAGATGGTGTGAATAGGCTTATGGGCGACCTTGATGTTGAAACCTCGAAGAACGTTTGTAACTCTCTCGGAGAACCCTTTGGCGTAGGGCAGGATAGCCAAGCTGCGCTGATCGGTCTCATTCATTTCTTGTTGTCTATTCAGTTGGCGACCATTGTGAATGAAATTAGCAGGGTAGTTATTAGCGTCGAGGGCTTTGGCTACTCGTTTAGTTTCCGGTGATACTTCCTCTCCGGTGGAAGGAATGTTCTTTGCGCGATCCTTGAGGGTGCCTACGACCGAGTGTTTATGCTGGGAATGGTATTTTTTTTTTAATTCTATTTATTTTATTATGTTTGCTTATACTTGACAACACTTCTGCTGTTAGTTTACACTAAAACAGTACAATAAAGGCTACATACACTACTTACAAAACAACAGAGCTCTTAACACTACTTTCAATACAAGATAGCCTCTTCACCCTACTTACTATAAAGAATCGATTTTGAAAAAATTTACATACGTAACAGCAATACAGGTATTTTCTAAATTAATCTAATTAACCCAATCTTAATCCAATCTTAATCTAATTAATGTTAATTAATCTATAGTAGCAGTTAATCTAGAGATATAACACACTTTTCTAATACCTTTTAAAAGCATTAACAGGACATAAAATGCGAAGAAGCATCATAAAAGAGAACCAGAAACTTCATTTTCTATTCTTAACTTGTAATTTACTTATGTAATAAATTCAACCCAGTCAAGATTCCTTTCATTTACCTTGTGATGCAAATCACTGTCATTTAACAGATTACACAATTCAGAATCATCTCTGATGTTTGCCCATTCCTGCGCATATTCATCCATTTCTTCCTCTTCACACTCGGGTGTTTTCGTTTCATCCTCATCCACATCACCAAAGATCCTGTGAATAGCAGCAAGAATTCCTCTGCTATGCTCCTTCCTCCAAACTTCAACACAATTTTCCACGTTACTTAATGTTTTGATCTTGTTACAGTTGTCGAGAACTTGTTGAATATGGAATGAGGTGAATTCATGCATAATGTTCAGGGATGCTATGGCATGTGAGGTACTTTGCATGGGTAAGTCTTTCATGAATTTGAAAAGTTCACTTCGAAGTCTGATTTTATCCTTTTCTTTGACTGATCGGACACTTTCAGAGGATACGGTACATGTGTCATCAGCATCTGATTTCAAAGACAAAGTACCAGGCTCAGTGCAGCTTTCTTGCCCGCACCTGCATCTCTTTGCACAAATGTCACAGCACTGGTGACCTGATACGGAAGAGGAGAATTCTCCTGGGAAATAACTATAAACGAAAGTTCGCCTGCATTTTTTATCATTGGACAAGTAGTCCTTGATGTCACCTGCACAATGTGCTTCTAACAGTCCGTTGTGCAGCAAAAGACATGTACTTGGCTGCCAATCCCTTCCTGCTCTTACACATTCCTGGACATAGCATTCAAGATTTTTGGCAGGGCCAAAATGAACTACGCGATGCACCTGTTGCAGTTTACTCCCATTCCAAAGGCAATAGTGCGTGCGATAACCCTAATATGCCCATTGCACCGGGATATATTGTCAAGAATGTTCTTCTTCACTGACTCTGGAGTCTCTGAATGAAACATCTCCATCATTCGCTCTTTGGGATTTGGTATTTTGTTCAAATAAAAATCATTTCCAAGTTTATCCTTAAAAACTGAATATAATAAGGCACATTGTTTACGAGTCTGGCAGAAAATCATTGTTCTTTGACAGGAACTGTAACTGACTCGCAGTTCTTCTATCAAAGTGTTAAAAGTGGAAGAAACAGGCATGTTCTTGTCTAAATACTTCACACTAAACTGCACATTGGGACGTTCTGGGCTATGCTCAGTGACATGGCAAGACGATTGATCCAGATTTAATGTTCTGAAAATGTCCTTTTTGGTAGATGGTGAAGCGGTAGCCGTCAACACGATGGATGGTAAGTCACTTGCAGTCAAAGACTTTAATTCTCCTAGGTTACCATACCAAACTCTGAATGGCACAGCTGCTTGCTTTGACCTCGAACCTAGAAGACCCCACTGACTTATGCAGTGTGCCTCATCAACAGTTATTGCGACTAAAAACTCGCGATAATGTTTACTGAAGAGAAGCTTTCGCCATCTTTCCACACTCAGCATTTTTTCTGGCGAAGCAAACAAGTACGCGAAGGCTCCTTTTTCTACTTGTTTTAGCTGTTCTTCCAACTTTTCATCGTGAAGAGCCATTGCGGAAAGACCTAAGGATCTCAGATATGCCACCTGATCTTCCATCAGTGTTTTCAGCGGTGAAATCACTAAGAATTTAGTGCTTCCACGAGGACGCTCGAGGATTTCGTCGAAGAGGACAGGAGCTGCAAAAAAGATTAGCGACTTTCCATATCGAGTTAGCAGACTTGCATGCGCATTTTTCCCTTCTAGAAGTGCTTTTAAACTTGTTTCTTGTTGAGGATAAAGCGAAGAAATTTTAAAAGTCTCGCCAACACGTTCAATAGCACGAGGAAAACTCGCGGAATGAAATAAAGTGCGTCTTTAATTTATGCAAAATTATTCCTGAACACGATTATCAACGGTAAGACACAGACGTCTCTCTCCGATTTTTTCCGGGGAGAGGCGGCTGTGACACAGGCTATTGAAATTGTTGACAGGTCATCGGCGTGGCGACAAAGACTAATCCTTGAAGCTTGGCATCCCATGCGGTATAGGAACGCTATAAACGAACACATAGCGCTACCAAACATTTACAATAACATTAATAACATTAAGGGTTTTTAGAGTCATTAAGAATACCCTAGAGACTATTGTTACACTCCGAGGCGTGATCACACATTGTATACAAATACCAAGCAGGACGCCGTTAGACATTTGCGTTTTTATCTTTGCTGAAGAAGGCACCAGTAGTAGCCGAAACGTCCAGTATATATTTTCAGGCAATATCAACTTCTTGTGTCCCTTTTTACCAAAATTTTTAATTAGATTATGAGCCCGAGATTTCTCTGCGTGATAGTTGACTTGGGCCACGCTCTCGTCAACTATCACACGATAGAAATCTCGAGCTCATAATCTAATTGTTAATAAGGCTAATCGGGAGATTGAGGTTCTGATGTTGACTTATCATTACGGTCACACTTATTTACCGCGCTAAGGCTTCAGTAGGAGAATACTGCCCTAGATGGAGCCGATATTCTACCAGTTCCGTCCTGAACAAGTTTGGTTAGTAGAAGATTTATTACACGACTCAATGATTAAAAAAGAGCAGTAGAAATCTTGCAAGTACAACGCTTTGAGAATGTTAGACTTGCAGTGAAGCCAATCAATTGGCTATTTTTTGGTCGACTCGATCAGCTCACTCGTCTTAGTCGTGTAACTGAAGTACTGTTAAAATACTTGTTATCAGGATAATTTCAAACTGCATCACTCTTAGGAATTAAAGATTTTCAATGACACAGGCTATCAATTTACAGATGATGCCCAGCCGAATCGCTATGAGCTCGAAAAGCGTCCCCGTGGGTATTGCGTCATAATAAACAACGTCAAGTTCTGGAAGAGGGCACATGATCGTCCTGGAAGCGAAGAAGATGAAAGAAGTCTCAAACAGATCTTCGATGAACTTTTCTTTACGGTAATCATCGAAAGAGATTTAAAGAAACGTGACATGGAAGATGTGGCGGAGAAGTATGGGGCTGAAGATCATACCAAATTTGATGCGTTTGTGATGATCGTCATGTCACATGGTGGGGATGGTGACTGCATTCTGGGCGTGGACGGAAGAGAGACATCAGTGAAGAATTTGATGGTCGAGTTCCAAGAATCCAACTGTCCATCACTAAAGAAAAAACCCAAGGTGTTTATTATCCAAACCTGCAGGGGCGGATTAGGATCCTCAGCTGATATTGTTATTTCACGGGCGGTGCCATCGACATCTACTCAGGTGGATTACGAGCTTTGCGATGCTTCTTTTTTACCCGACTCTACTCTCCCAAGGAGTGTGTTTCCTCCAGAGGCTGACTTTGTCTTGGCCTTTGCCACTGTGCCAGGCTACGTATCTTACCGGTGTACAACGGACGGAACCTTTTTTATACAGGTTAGAAATATGAGGATTTATTTCTTGCTAGCCTTTTTCAGTAATTAGAATTCAAAATGATCAAGAAAGCGGAAGGTGGCCTGAGGCTAGCTCTCTAGGTTGTGTAATTGCGAAATAACACTTGTACTATTTTGTACTGACACGGTTTCTGGACAAGGCATTTGGTTAGGCCTGTGTTTCTCTCCATCCAGATGTGTAAATTGTGCTGAAGAGTTTGTTTGATTATGACACACTTATGCAATAACGTACCACGCCGTTTAGGAGTAGTAGCAATAGTCTCAGTCAGGTTCTGCACGCTAATAAACTGCAGTCACGTTAGCCACTTGTTATATCTTATATCTTATTTTTGTTACATCTTCTACTCTCTTCAAATCAGTCTTTGGTCAAGACTATCAGAGAACATCGTGACCGTCGTCACTTTCTTGAGATCCTGACGCAAGTCACTAAGCTGGTGGTGAAGAAGGAAGAGGAAAGAAGCAAGAGGAGGCCTACTATTCAAGTCCCAGCATCTATGCAAACACTGACAAAATGTCTGTACTTGTGAAAGAGAAAGAAGGCAGAGCAATAGCAAGTAGAGAAGGAGTTAGTGTAAGTAATTGATCCCGAGAATTGTTCAAGAACACCTGTAGAAAAGTATATCTAACAGTCAGTCATGGCTTGCCGGGTCTTGTTGTAAATGGTACTGAGTGACTTTTGATCTCTTGACATTATTGGTATTCAAAAAAACTGGCATTTATTTTGTTTACAAAATAGTACAAAATCACAACGTTTGTTAGCAACATAGGGACTTCAGAAACTAATTTGCGTAAAGGAGACGTGCTACTCCAGTAAAGGAGCTAGGTCTCAGTGTTTTAGGTAAATTGTAACTTCATATTGTCTGAAATCAGTCTTTAATTAGTAAAATCTAGGCCACATATCAAAGAGCAATGATTTTCGAGTGTGATAGAAATACACTTTAACTTGAAAACATCAGGCTGCTGGTTTCATGATTACCCTTATGTCATTTTGATTAATTTTGCGCATCTGTGGCCCCTTTTGCCCTCCATGTATTTCTTTTGAGTTCTCAGTTCTGAAGTTTTAAGCCATAATCGTGAGATTTCAGTTCAAGATTCCATGACCAGATGGTGAGAGCCCAAACTGCCTAAAATAAGCTGGCCTAGCCCTTTAATTCTTTGTGCATTAAATAAATCAAGGACGTGACAATCAAAGAGTACACGTAGGAGCCAGAGTAAAAATTAGAGTTTCTCTTACGATGACTTGGTCGATATGATGACCTGGACGACGAAGCGATCCTGAGTGGTACGGCCCGTCAATCGTATTCATCAACTACGAGATGAGTTAATTCCCATATAGGCTTTATCCCCAAGGCAATCCCCTCAAGTTATTTTTCGATCTGTTCCGGTTAGCATAACTGTCACGCCATGTTGCTCACGTGGACAGTCTTAGCGCCTTCACACGCATTATCATCGTCCGGGAAAACACATTATGTCCGTAGGAGAACTGGGTACCGGGGAGAAAGCCTGCATCGGGGATTGGCTTTCTTACCTGTCATCATTCTTGTTCTCAATAGAACCCCTCGTTGGTTCATGTCTCTGACAAAGTAGCCCAGTATTTTGAGATTTTAAATATTATCATGATTCCGATAACGAGAAATCAGATGTGCGAAAGGGAAGGACGAGGAAAAAACAGAACTAAGCGAAGATTTCCCGACATTTCATTTCAGGAAGTCCATTTGTTTATTATTTGCCGTGCAGATTTTGTTCTGCAAGACAACGGAGGCTTTTCAGTTTACAACAGTTGAGACATTCTTGTAGTCTGAGATAATACAGAAAGCGATTCTTTGCTTTTCTTTGTCGATTTGTGTGCTGTGGGCGCGAAATATTCTTAAAGAAGCGAGAAGTGCAGAGAGAAACAAAAATCGTTAGCATTTAACTGAGGGCAAGTAAATCGATACGAAGAGCTGCTAAAATCCCTGGGTGGGGGTACTCTTAGAAAAATTGAATAGTGGTGTGCGGCCCCTTTTTCAAAACTCTTACCCCATTCATGACCAAATTCTGCGATTTTCCCTACCCATTTAGGACCTGGCCAAAAATTCGATACCCTAATTAAGACGTGACCCGCAAGTTAATTCCCTGTTTTAGACTTGTCTTATAATTAGTTCCTTAATTCAGATCAATGGTAAATTGTTGTAAACAGAATTTGTGAGGAGCTTTTGTGTATGGTCTTACCGATTATGGCGAAAAAGTAGCTTCTTCGTTTAAACATACCCATATCAAGACTAAAGTGCAAAATCCATACCCTATTTATGACCAAAATGGTCGAAATCGATACCCTTTTTATGACCAAACCCTACCCTTTGGGGCCGCACATACCTATATAGCCCATATAGAGGAGTACCCTCCCTCTCTGGGCTTAAAGTGAAAGGGAGACACTTGAAAATGTCCAGAATGATCGAAGGAACCTCGCCAAATCCAGCTGACCGTGACATGGTACGACACGACTGAATTCTTAGCTTCTCAATTGTTCCGTTCTAGGCCGTTCAATTATTTCGGATTCCGTTTGCGTTTTTCCAAATATCTTTTAGCATTAGGAGGTTTTTAGTCAACTCCTGTTCAGGTTTATATACCTCTTCATTTGAAACTTCTAGAACTGATCATTATGAGAAAAAACTTAACTTTGCAGTTGTTATGCCCAAAATGTTTTTTTGTTTTTGAATCAAGCTACGGTAAATCTTCTAACTTTTTAATTTTCAAAAAAAAAAAACCTTTTCAATTTTCTGATGACCGTACTTCTGAGACGCTATGGTATATGTAGCGAAATCTTGTGCAAAAGTTGTGTTTGTAAGTGAAATAGGGCAAATATGCGTCCTTGTTTGTTTTAATGGT